GGGGTAAGGACAGCCTCTCCATTCCTGGAAACATTCCATCATCCTCTCTAGCTAACTCACCTTCAGAGCCTACAGTGGGCCCTGAGCTTTCTCTCCCTCTTTTCATAGCCCCACTTCAAAAATTGTCTATAGCATCTTCATTTCTTCACCTCCCACTCACTCTACGGCCCGCTCCAATATGGCTTCCTGCCATGCCAATGATTCTAGGCTAGCCCTTCTCCTGAGTTCCAGTTCTAACCACCTACTTCTACTTGAAATTCCCCCTTGACCATCTCCAAGGTATTTCAAGGTTAATATGCCCAAGGCCAAAGTCATGACTGTCTTCCCCAAAGCTGGTCCTCTTCCTGTGCCCCAAATCCAATGGCATGGTCGTCCATCCAGGTGTGTAAGACAGAAGCCCACAAATCATCCTTGGCTCCTTCCCATACCGTCCATACCAGGGGCTGACAATTGCATCCACTACATACATATAGATTCCATGCCCCCTCCATGGAAAACCCCCTGAAGCTTTCCTTCATATGAATGGTCTCCTCACTGGTCTCTCTGCACCCACCCCCCCACCCCCCGCCCATCCATTTCCCATCCACCCAGAGCAATCCTGTTAATATATAAATTTGGTCATGCCAGTCCCCTGCTCAAACCCTTCTTGACTTCCCACTAGGCTGAAATGCCAAAACCTTTATCAGAGTCTCCCCTGTCCTGGATCCTAGCATGTGTTTTGAGGACCTGAGAGGGTAGGGGTATTCCTGGGGTTGGTGGCCTTGGAGGAGTGCGGTGAGCAATAATGGGGGGGGTACTAGGGACTGGCCCTAAAAAACCCCAATTGCGGGACCCCATGAGTTGCCAAGTGGGCAAGACGGAAATGAGTCCAGAGAGGCAGAAGTTGGCAGCATCCCCACCCAGGTTCTCCCTCAGGCCACCTAGGCTACCTAATTTCCTTTTAATTGGTGCCTAATGGAAGTGAATTAAACCCAATTGAGCTTTATTGTGTCTGTTCATGTGCCAGTCCCAACTTGCCTCCCTTCCCCCAGGGTCTGGGGCTGCAGGTGGAAGGAAAGAAGACTGGAAGTGGGGTGATTGTAGGGGTGGGGGGAGGGGGTGCACCCTTCCCCCAGCCCTGCTGAGGTAGGCCTGATACCAGTGCACAGGTCTCCTCGGGACCTTCTCGTACTTCCCCAACACCCCCTCCCTGCCCACCTGTATCCCCTGAATACCTGGATTCCAGGAACACTGACTTAGGACCTACTCTGTGCTGGCACAATGCTGGGAACCTTCCCTGCATCACCTCCTTGAACCCTCACCACGACCCAGTGAGGCGGATCGTACTCACACCTCCTTTTCACAGAGGACACAATTGACTTGCCCAAGGTCACTGCCTTTGTTCGGTCTAGAGCTGTGCTGTCCAATACGGTAGCCACTAGCCACACGTGGTTACTGAGCACCCAGAAAGTGGCCAGACTGAATGCAGATGTGCTGTACGTGTAAAACACACACTAGATTTCAAAGACTTAGTATGAAAAAAGAATGTAAAGTATCTCATTGGTAATTTTCTTTATTGATTATGTGTTGAAATGATGTTTTTGATATATTGGGTTAAATATATCATTAAAATGAATTTCACCTATTTTTTTTTTTTACTTTTTAAAAAATGGCTATTAGAAAATTTAAAATTACATATGTAGTTTGCATTATTTTTTCTATTAGACATTCCCCAGGGTCTGGTCTTATGAAGGTAGGGCTGGTCTGATCATCCATGACCCTGCACAGTCTGGAAGGCAAGGAAAAGCTGCAGGTGAGCTTGGGTGAGCCTGTCTCCATATCTCCATATAAGCTACCTCCATCTCTCTTGGGAGGGTGGCAGGTCCTTTCAGAACCCTGGACAGCATCCAGGGCTGGCCTCCCACTTGGGGTCCTAGGATAGCACCGGAGGCCAGGAAGGAATAACTGGGGGAAGGGTAGATACCACCTGCACAGTACTCCCCATGAATAATCTCAAGTCATGTTCCGGATACCCAGTGAGGAAGGCTGGGTAGGAATTATCATTTTCCCCATTTTGCAGATGAGGAAACCAATGTTCAGAGAGATTTGTGCATTCCATCTGTTCACTCAGTAAAGATCCACTGATGCCTGCTCCGTGTGGAGCCCTCAGCTGAGCACACAAACCTGAAGCAGGTCGACACAGATGACAGCAATTCTGTGTGAGCAGTGAGATAGCGAAAGTGTGGGCCAGGGCTGTGGGAGCCCGGCGAGTGCTGATTGCTGCACTGGGGAGTTCAGGGATGGCTTCATAGGAGGGCCACTTGGGCTGGGTCTGGAAGGATGAAGGGGAGTTTGCCAGTGTAACAGGAAGAAGTTCCAGGCAGAAGGGATGGCGTGCGCATAGGCACGGGGGTGAGAGAGATAGGCCAGGAGAGGTAGGCAAGAGTAACAGCACCAGGGCCTTGCATTCTAGGCTAATTCTAGGATCCTTGGAAGGCTTCTGAGCAGGGCAGTGGCCTGGCCAGATGTGCATTTTGGAAAGATCACACCTGGGCCAGGTGGACAAAGGACTAGAGACTGGGGGCGCGAGAATAAGGAGGACAACGAGAAGAGAAATTCAAGTCCAGGAAAGAAACGACAGGTTGGTAGATATTAGCCCAAATGGAAGGGCTAATAGGCCTACAGATAAGGAAACCCAAGTCAGACAGGGTCCAGTGACCTGTCCAAGGTTACACGGCAAGTCAGTGCCTGGGGGAGCGGGGACCGAGGGGCAGAGGGGAGCATAGCCCTCAACCCAGGAAAGCTCCGCCCCGACCACAGAAGTGGCTGAGTCTCAAAGCCCTCGGGAGCCTCTGCTGCAGCTATGGTTGCTGTCTGAGCAGAAGTAACAAGGTGATACTCCACTTCCTCCTCAAACCAGATGCAAAGCAAGAAACTACAAGAGGGGAGGGACAGGCACATCGCAGCTCAGCCCCAGAGAAATCCTATGGTGCCAGCGGAGCCCGGCAAAGGAAGGAGACAGACACACGGGAAAGGCAACAAGAAGGCTTTGGGTGGTGGCTCAGGCCTGGCCCAGGATGTCGGTGGTGCCTGCTGGCACAAGGTCAGGGGATGGAGGGCTTTGTCTGTGCCAATCACAGGGCCGTGTTTTCCGACTGGAATTCAAGAGAAAGTTTCTGCCCCTCTAGGGGCAATGTTGAGTGATGGGGGCTGGGAGAAGGAAGCCTGGTGGGCCCAGGGTGGGTGAGGAAGCTTGCTGACTAAGAATGAAGCTGACACAGGGCAGCCAGAAGGGACGGAACACCTGGCAGCACTCTGACCCGGGGTCCCATCACCCACAGCCAGCCACACATGCCACCACTGTCCTTGCTGTGGCTCGTAACTCCTGAGTGGACAAATTTCAGAGTTCTGCTTCTCCTGGCCACAAGTCCCAGTATAGTCACTTACAGGCTGTGGAATTTGGGAAAGTCACGTCCCCTCTCTGAGCCTTGACTTCCTCATCTGTAAAACGGGGGAGTCACAATCCCCACCTTGAACACTCAGATAAGGTGGTGCCTGAGTGAGTGCTTTGTACACATCAGTGCTGGGGCTGCCCAAGGGGAGGGAGGCCGAGGTGATGAGCAATCACAAGAGAGCAGGGGCCTGCAAAAGCTCAGGGCCTAGGGACACAGGCCTGAGGACTCTGCCCTCCTCCTCCGACCAGGCCCACAGCAGGCAGGATTCAGAGACTGACGGAGCCTGCACCACCACGGCCACCACTCCTCCAGCCCCTCCAGGATGCCATTAGCTGTAACACCCCCCACCCCAGCAGCCAGTCCCTTCTTCCTTCTCCCCCATCCCGGCTCCTACAGCATCGAAGCCCTCCCTCTGATGTGTTGGCCACCCCCGGAGACTGTCAGCTCTCCAAGGGCCTGTGTCTGAGTCCCTGGGGAGGGGCCCAGAGGTGCCCATGCCACTAAATGACCAGGCCAGCAGCTGCACCTGTGGCCCCTGCTCCCTATGCTGCCTGACCACCAAAGAGCCACAGTGTACACGACAGGACGTTTCCACATACTGATCCTACGCCCCCTCTTCCTGGGTGCCCAGGAACTGAGCAGGGGGCCATCCACTCAGGTGTGTAAAGAAAACACCCCAGCAATGAGTCTCCCACCCTTGCCCTCTGGCCAGGGTGGCCTGGCCCCTCCACCCCACACCCACCCTCAGCCCTGGAACCCAAAGCTCCCCACTGCTCCCCTGCAGCCATGAAGGTCGGGTCCCAGGAAGCTGAGCTCAAGCTTCCTGTCCTACCAGGGGGAGGGTGATAAAGGTGAAGGTGCGAGGGGGCTCCACCATCCACCAAGCCTGGGCTTGAAGTCCCAGCCCTGCCTCTGACCATGGCCTTGAGCAAGTCACTCCCCATCTCTGGCCTCATTTTCCTATCCACAAAATGGGCAACCTAAAACCTTCCCATAAGGTTGTATAAAGGGGTCAGGGGTCATGTGTGTGAAGCTCCTAGCACAGAGCACAGCATAAGACAGAGTGCCAAGTGGTAACAGCCAATACTTAAGGAGCTGCTTCTGTGCCAGGCACTTGCTACGCGCTTTACATGTATTAATTTGTTTCATCCTCATAACAACCCTATGAGGTAGGCACTATTACCATCCCCATTTCACAGATGTGGAAACTGAGGTCACTAAGCTCTGCCTTGGCTCCAACCCAGGCAGTCTGGCTTCTGGGCCCCAGTGAATAGCAGCCATGACCATCATAGCCACTGGGGAAGGCCCCCTGCAAGGGGTCCCATCCCACATTCCCAATCTGCTTACCCCAGGCCCTGACAGAGGAAGGCATGTCTCCAAGGTCACCCAGGGAGTCAAGGGCAAGATAGGGTCAGAGCCCAGGCGCCCCCTCCCAGTCAGGGCAGGCCTGACCCCATCACACAATGTGATGAGTCCAAGCGAGGTGAAGCAAGGAGATGGAGGAACAAAGTTGGAGTCCTGGGGCTGGGCCTTCACCTGGGGGAAACAAACAGCTCAGCAGCAAAATCCACAGAGTGAAGTTTATTCCCAACAAAGTTCCCCTCCCCCCTCCCCAGCCCGGGACAGGGACAGACAGGCTGGGGCAAAGATGGGGCTCCAGTGGCTGAGGGGCCTCTGAGAAACAGGGAAGGGCCCTGGCCCCCCAGGCCACGCCGCGTCTGGCTCCCCCAGCCCGGCTGAGTCCACTGCGCCTCCCTGCCCAGCCCTCGGGAGAGGGGAGGGGGCGCTGGCTCCTGGGTAGTTCCAAAGTGGAGTGTGAAAATAGAGAGATATATATATTTATACGCAGTAGGCAGTCCGGCGTCGCACTCACACCTCTGTCTGGAAGTCACCATCAGGCGGGTCTGTGGGCTCCCAGGCTGCTGCTCGGTGAAGGGCCAGCCGTTCTCGGGGCTTGGGGGGCAGCGAGCCCAACGTCATAGACTTGAAGGTGCTCCAGCTCTGATGTCGCCGCGGCTGGGACAAGCCAGGACGCTCCCCTGGGCTGGGCTTCTCCTGGAGGGGGAGCAGGAAGGGCCCGTGGAGATGGGCCAATACGTTCTCACTCATTGCACGGGTGAATAAACTGAGGAGGCCCAGAGAGGGCCCACTGATGCCCCAAGTTACTGAGCAATCAAGGTGCCAAAGGAGGATTCAAATCCAGATCCGCCTGGCTCCAGAGTTGGGTTCCTGACCCCTGTGCTCACAGTGGCCCCCTGGGACCAGGTCTCCTGTTGCCCACCCTCCTCAAGATCCTGGCGGGGCCCCTCTAGATGCTCCCCATCCCTGCGCAGCCCCAGCACTGTCACTTATGCCTTCGGTAGGCGAGCTGAGGTTGCCCAGGCAGGGAAGGAGGGCAGGGAGGGAATGAGTCCCTCAGAGCCCACCTCACCCCCACCCCAGCCCAGGGGGGCCTATGCTGGACACGGTCCCAGCTGCCCCACCCGAGGACACACCCCACCACTTCTCTCTCTGCAATGGGGGCCACGGGGGGCCACAGGGGATGAGAGTCTGACCCCAGGGGCCACTACGCCAGGTCAGGCCCTGAGCTTCGGGCAGGGGCCGCCACGGGAGGGGCCTCACCTTGGCTGCAGACTGGCTGCGGTAGCGGTCGAAAGTGTGGAATTTCTGGTTGAGCTCGTGGTAGAGTTCCGAGTGCCGTTTCCGGGTGTGCATCACCTTCTGGGAGCCACAGGCCGTCAGAGGAGATGCTCCCCCTGCCCCACCCAGGGCGCTCTGCCTCCTGGGTCCCCACATCCCTGCCTGCAGCCGGCCCTCCGGCTGGCCTGGCTCTCTCTGCACCGCAGAGCTACAGGCTTGGGCAGGGGGGGATGTCAGGGAGATCTCACAGAAACCACAGGCTCGGGGGCCTAGGTCAGGCTCTGCAATAGGGCGTGGGCTAATTCTAAGACTGGACCCTCCAGGAACAGACACCACAGACAGATGCCCCCCAACACACACACAACACACACACACAGAACACTTACCTCAAAGTCCAGGTCAGAGTACCGTAACTTCTTTCGCTGGGAAGGAGCACCAAGGAGGCAGTGAAGGAGAGAAGAAAGCTTTTTACCACATGCAGGGGTTTTGGGATAAGAAACCTTTTACCCCAGACTCTGCCCGTTGCACCATCCCCCAGCCCAGGCCCAGGAGTTAGGAATCCTTAAAGGGCAGCCCTTGGGGTTGTGGGGACCGGGGCTGAGGCCTGGTGGCTGAAGAGCCGAGGCACCACCCTGCCACAGGGCTGCAGCTCCGGCCCCAGGCCCACACTCCCTGCTGCCCGTGATGCACACACATGCCCAAACCTGCAGGCAGACACTTACAGGGAGTACACACATGCGCACACATACACACTGGCACACGCACAGATCCATGACTGCACATGGGCCAAATGTCACAGCGCAGGCTTCCAACGTGGCAGGGACACGGACTCCCACCGGGATCACAGAGCAGATGCTCCTTCCTCTGTACCCAGGATTCTATCCTTCTGTCCTGCCCCATCTTCCCCCGTTCTCTCTGCCAGCACAGCCTCCCCTCTCCCGGGAACCCTCCACCTGTCCTGCAAAGACAAGGACTCAGCTTTTCAGTCCTTCCTTTGACCCCACCTTCCTCCTTTTCCTGCCAAACCAGGCCCTGCCTCCCTCACCTCCTGGCCCCGTCATGCCTCTCCGGGCCCTCACTGCCCAAGACCACTTTCAAGGTCTCAACAACCTCCAACCTCCACAGCATCTAATGCCGCTCAAAGAGGAGGCCTTGGAGTCTTAGAATGCTGCGCTGGGACTGCTCGTGAGACCTAGGCCAACTTTCCCAGGTTACACTGGGGAAACTGAGGTCCAGGAAGGGGAAGGGACTTGCCCCAGCGCCCTGAGGGATGATGCTAAAACCACCATCTAGATCTCCCAAATCCCAGGCCCAGAAGACATGCTCACCACCACTGGCCTTCGGGACACCATTCTCTTGGTCCGCCACCTCCCTGCCTGCTGTTTCTCTGCCACCCACCCTGGCTTCCCCAACTCTAGGCCCTCCGCGCTCTGCCCGGATGTTCTCCTGCCCTTCACCATGCATGTGTGTCCTCTCCATTCTCGGTCACATCTTGTTCTCTGGAGGCAGGAGGACACTCTCCCTGTCCCCTGCTGCCCACAGGCACTGCACACACAGCTGCGCCCAACCGAAAAAACTCAGAATTCCCAGCCCCAAACCCATTCCTCCGCCTCCGCCCCATGGCAGTTGCCTACAGCAGAATTCTGGACGTCATCCTTGACCCCTCAAGACGCTGCCACATTTATGGCTACCTCCCACACAGGGAGCCCAACACCGACCCCTCTTCAGTGGCCCAACCATGGGCAGGTGTCCACAGAATGAAACCTGCCATGATGCTGTGCGTCCCCCTCCCCAATGCCGGTGTCGAGTTTTCTGTCTTTGTTATGCCTTCCTGTCTCTGCCATCTGCAGCAGGAGCAGGCACCAAATGTTCAAGAAACATTTTGGGAGAAAAACTAAACTTGTGAACCCTCTAGCTGCTAACTTAATTTCCTCTGTGCGGAGGATGGGGAGCAGGTTTCTGAGGCAGAACATGAGCAGCCAACGGTGTCTGAGCTGTGACTTCTGCCCCTTTCCTTATCCACCTCCCCCTCATCCCTCCAACTAGAGTTCTAGAATGTTCTCGAGTTCTACAGTGGGCCACTACTACCCGCTTGTTCCCAGTGATTCCCTGCTGGGAGCAGGCCTGAGAAGGCGAGAGAGAGAGAAGGTGGGGCATCTGCAGAAAACAAACAGACAGGGACAGAGAGGGGCTTCCTTTTTCTCAGGAAGAGAGGGTCAATTATCACAGGCCTATGGGCAGCGCCTGAGGCTGATTTCAGGGATGATGAGAGCGGCAATTCCCAATTATCTAGCACTTTCTACCTGCTCCACACAGAGATAAACGTTTTATATCACTCAATCAGTCCTCACAACAAGTCTACAAAGAGGCTGCTATCTTATCCACACTTTACAAATGAGGAAACTGAGGCTCAGGGAGATTAAGGCTGAGAGAGATTGTGCTCAAGATCTCACTGCTGATCAGCAGCCCCCAGATCTGAACTGGCTCTCTGCCCCTATTATGTCTCTTCCTAACAACACAGCACCTGGCCTGAGCCACGGGCCCCTTAAAAGAAGACCCATCCTAACCAGTCACCCCAAAGCAGACACTAAAGCAAGTGGGGATGCATCAAGAAGTGCACCCTCAGCACACGAAGTCTGAGCCCATGTGAGGAGTTCAGAGAAGCCGGGATTCCCTTGGAGCTGCTGTGAGCACACAGGGACAGAGGAATGCACGGCACACACACTCCCGGAGACTTTGTACAAAGCTGCTGCTCTATGGGGGTTGCTGGCTGTCCCTTCCCGGCTGCTGCCTGTGACTTAGACACAGTCTCACCACCCTACGGCCCCTCACCTCCAGGGAACCCAGCTTCATGGTGGAGCCGGGCACGGTGCGGGGCATGGTCCGGCTGCGCTCCCCCGGCTCGGGCACTTGGCGGGCGCTGGGCGTCGGCGGTGGCGGTTGGAAGCTCATCCCGTAGGGGTTCTGTAGGGACCCATAGGCAGGGCCCAGCCCCAGGCCCGAGTGGTCCACAGACAGGAAGCTGGGGTAGCCTTCGGTGTGGGTCAGTGCCTTGGCAGCCCGCCGGGGGGTGCCCTCGGGCCGGGCCCGCTGGGGATCCTCGCCGCCTCCGCCTCCACTGCCAGGCTGCAGGCTCAGAGTCCGCCGGGGCAGCACCATGTAGTCCCCCTCCGAGCCGGGCTCGGCCGGCCGCAGCCATGTGAGGTCCAGCTGCCGCAGGCCGCCCTCCCCACACATGTACACAGGGTTGGCCTCCTGGGGAGGCGGCGGCTCCCCCAGCCCTGGTGAGGCTCCCATGGGCACCAGGATATTCCCAGGCAGCGGTGAGAAGCTGAGGCTGCCCTCGGGACCCACGAGGCAGGACTTGGGCTCCTCGTCCTCGTCCAGGGACAGGCGGGACAGGGTGCCCGTGATGGTGGACGGGTTGCACGTGTTGACCTCCTTGAACAGAACTGGGGGCAGGAGTGGGAGGGAGGTAAGTCCTGGGGAGAAGGAGCCCCCAGATGCCCTTGCCCATGCGGGGCAGGTACCAAGCCCCTGAGCTTGGACAGAGGAGGAAACTGAGTCCTGGAGAGGTGGCTAGGTGGTCAGTACACTCTCACACACCATGAGGGTTAAAACAACGACTATCCCAGAGGCCCACAGCAAGGCAGGGCAAGGCCCAGCTCTCACGGTGCCCTGGTGCAGGTCCTAACCTCTGACCCCACGGCCTCAAGGCTGTCCAAAGGGCCTTGTTCCTCCCCCCTCCCTGGGCAGCTTCTCTCCAGGAGATAGACCTGGAAAGAGATTCTGGTAAGAATCATGGAAAGGATATAATAATGTAACAGCCACCATGTGCCAAGCACCTTGTTCAGCACCTGACATCCCCTAATTCATTTAAGGCCCCTATCCACCCCAGGAGGACAGATTTCTCTCCTTTACAGGTGTGTTAACTGAGGCTCAGAGAGGTAAGCTGTTCACCTGAAGTCACGCAGTAAGTGGTGTTCACAGCCTTAAATCTAACTCAGGGCTGTCTGGCTGAAAGCTAGATCCCATAGCCAGACCCATATCAGGGCCTCCCATGATGAGGCTGGGCGCCCTCCCTTCTTGCCTCTCTCCAGAGCCATCCTCAGCTCCGCCCCAGCACACTCACCTGTCTGACAAGCCAGATCCACATCCTTTTCAAAGTCTGACTATAGGCAGAGAGAGAGAACAAATGGGCAGAGACAGGATCAATGTACCAGGGTGAGGGGGCTCAGGCCCCTCCCTACCCACCCAGAGGTGCTGCCCACAGCACACTGCCCAACAGAGCCTAGAGGGGCCCCCGACAAGGTCTACTCCAGCCCACCTATGGGTGGAGAAACTGAATGGGGAGGGACTTGCCCAGTGCCACCAGCTGTCAGTGGCTGAGCCTGAATCAAACCCAGTCTCTGTCCCCTCCCTGCCATGGATGGGGTAGGTGAGGGGTCTGGGGCAGGGGGATGGTGGGGGGCTCAGAACCCACCTGTGCCCTGCCCAGGCCTCCTCACTCACCAGGATCTGCAGCTGCCCGTTCTTACACGAGTCAGGGGAGTCTTCACTCTCATCGGCCCGGCACACACCCATCTGGCACTTCACCACGTCCTGGACCTGGGGGCAGCGGGGGCCTCCTGGGCCTGAGGCCAACACAGGGCCCCTGGCCACAACTGGCTGTGCCTCCCACCCCAGGCACCCAGGCAGGTGTGGAAAGAAAGCAGCACATCCAGCCTAGGGGAAGGTCAGAGGGGAGAAGGAGCCCCACGAGACCAGGAGGCCAAGGCCAAAGCTGCCCCAGGCTAACAGCTTCCATACCAAGCGCTGCCCAGCTGGGGGCCTGGTCGGGGCCTCAATCCTCCCCAACTGCACAGTGGGGAGAAGCTAGAGGACTGGTATGGGGAGGGGGGCAGGCAGGAGCGGGACAGGCCCAGCCCCACCTCTCGGCGCAGGAAGCAGTGCACAGCGGTGATGACAAAGCCCTGCGCAGAGTTGAAGACAGCAAAGAGGGCCTGGAAGAGGACGGAGCGGCGGTCGGTCATGGCCAGGACGGCAGACATCCAGGTGAGCGCCAGCAGGGGCAGCACCACGCAGGAGCTCCAGAGCGAGGCCCTGAGGACAGCAGAGGGTCCATCATGATACTCCAGGGGACAGGGTGGGCTGAGCCCGGGCCTGTAAGCTGCCCAAGACTGGCAGGGCCCCAAACTCCAAGACCTCAGTAATGTTCCCAGGCAGAGAGGGGCTGAGGAGCCAGAGAAACAGAACACAGACAGAGAGTGGAGAACTGTGGGGCCAGGGCAGGGACCAGGAGGTGGGAGGGACAGACACACTGACACAGCAGGACTGAGCCAAAGACAGAGGCAGCATCAGGGGATGGAGATGGAGAAGGTGGAAGGAGACAGTGGGAGAAGAGGGGAAGAGGGAGACAGAGGCAGATGCCATGAGTTTCAGCCCCAATTTGCACAAAACCACAGGCCTGGGCCACATCCCCAGAGATTGTGTGAGAGAAGGAGAAGACAAAGAGAGACAACAGACGTAGTGAGAGAGAGCGTGAGACAGGCAGAACCACACAAAAAGATTAAACAGGCAGAGCACAAATCTTTGGGGAGAAGATGGGGGCCAGGGCTGGTACAGCAGAGGCTCTTCCCCCTGTTTTCCAAGGAGGAGGCGCCAGGCTCTCAGGAGCTACTCAGAGCCCTGGGCAGAAAGATCATAGCTGGGGCTGGGCGTAAGAGCCGGGGTCACAGCCTAACCCCCACACACCCACCTCGGTCCTTGACAGAGGACAAAAGGCAGATGGGCCCTGGCATCCAGGCCCCAGAGCCAGCCCGCCCCCACTGGCTACAGGCCATGCGGGCACAGCAGGGCAGTCTTGCCCTACTGGGCCAGGTGCCACACCCTGCCCACTCTGCCTCATGAACACCCCTGGTGGGAAAGCCAGGCTGCGGTGGGCACAGCTCTGGACACGGCAGAGAGATGGGCAGGGGGCCAAAACCTGTCCTAGGAGGAGCAGTTTAGGGCTGTTCAGCCTGGCGGGGGGCGGGCCCAGTGGTCTCCACAGCCCCGGGGGCAGAGCCAAGACTAAGACAGCCCTAATCACAGTCATACGAGCCACCATTGATTAACCACAATTCTCTGCCAGGCCCTACACTGAGCACTTTACATACATTAGTTCACACTGTGATCAAAACAACTCCAATAAACAGGCATGGGGATTATTATCCCAATTTACAGATGAGGTAACTGGAGGGCGCCCAGCTGGACAGAGAGAGACAGAGCTGGGACGCAAAACCAGCTTGGCCGCTGCCAAAGCCCAGACTTTTAACTGCTGGTTCTGAGAGACCGGGTCCGAGAGGCAGATGGCGGCGCAAGTGAGAGGGAGCTTTCTACTACGCGGAGCTGTCCAGAGATGGTGTCAGCTGCCTCCAGAGGCAGTGAGCTCCCTGACGGTGAAGGTGTGCAAGGTAAAGCTGGATCCCACTGGTTAGGGAGGCTCAGATGGATTTCTGGCCCTGTGGATTCATTCATTCCACTCTCACATGGCTGGGATTTTAAGATTCTCAGCTGCCAGGAGGGGTCTCAGTAAAATAAGTCTCTACCTCCAAGATTCTCTGTCCCTCTACTGATTGTGAGATTCAATGCCTCTGAATTTCTAAGTCTCAAATTCTATGACAGATGATAAGACTTTATGATTCACTCATTCTAACATTCTTAGCTTCTGATTGTCTTATTCTAAGATTCTATCATTCTAATTCTAAGGTTCTATGGGCTTAAAAATTCTAAGGGCCTAAGATTCTATGAGCCTGTGTAGGGTGGGGGTATAAGGAAGGGTCTGTGGCTGTGTCTGGATAAAACATAAGCCAGGAGTGTGGGCGGGGGTGGGGAGCAAGGGGTGGGCACAGGAACCCAGCATTTTCTGGGAGGCACAGACATTCACTCCCTGTCACCCTTTGCCACTTGGACGCTGAGCCCTTGAGAGTGTGTGGCAGTTGGCGGGGCAGGGCAAGCTTTCCACGGCACTGGGCTGATGTCCCTCCTCCCCCCACCATGGGCACTGCCCCCCATTCTTTTGCCCCCACCCACCCGTCCCCCCTCTCCCCCGGGGGCACAACTAACATGGCGTTCCTGGCCGAGGCTGAGCTGAGCAGGGGGCTGGGGACCGCTCCACACGCTGAGCAGGGGAGGAGCAGGCTGGCCCAGGGGCACCGCTCCGACCTCGGGGGCGGCACAGACATGGGAGAAGGGGGGAAACACATGGGAAGTGGGAGGAGACGGGGCAGCATAAGCCCCGAGTGGGGTGGGAGGGGGAGGGCAGACGAGAGAGAGAGGTGGGTTAGGGTGGGTGAGGGGCTGCAGCTGAGCACTCTGGGTGCCCACCTCGCCTGCACCCTCGATGCATCAAGGTCAGGGAGCCCCGGTCACGCCGTGAAGCCCTGAGTCTCCGAGAGTGGCCGTGGCCCTCCCTAGACCATTTCCCTCAAGGCCAAGTCGCAGAGACCTCCTTACCCGGCCCTCTGCTTCTTGGACTTGTCTGAGATGCCATCACGCGCCATGAGCTTGTTGAAGACGATGATCCCGATGAGCATATTCACCTGGGGGCCCGGTGGAGTGGGGTGGGGGGAGACAGGATCACCAGGTGCCCTCCTGGCAGGGAAACCCCCAGGTGGGAGCTGGAGTGCAGGGAGGAGGTAGACCCAAGGCCACGGCATCCCAGGACGCTGAAGGGGCACATACCAGGACAATGACGGCAGCAGGACCCACAAAGGCATAGAGCAGGCCACCCTCCAGGGAAAGCCAGCAGCTGGGGTGGGGGGCAAAGAGGGGGCGTCAGACACCAGCGGCCTTGCTCCCCACCCTCAAACACCAGCCCTCAGTGCCCCCGGGGCTGCCAGGCCCACAACAACAGACGGGGTTGGAGTGAGCCACTGGCTCCTGCTGAGCCTCAGGTTCCCCTCTAACAAAGGCCCAGCCCCTGGGGCTACCATGGGGATCAAAGAAGGCTGATCCCTGAGCTACATGGTTCTCAGAGATTATCCAATCCCAACACATCCTTTTTCAGTCAGGGAAATTGAGGCTCAGAGACTGGGAAGAATTTGTCCAAAATCCCAAGCAGGCATGGGCTACGATTGCAGCCTGAGAAGACCTGATGCCCAGTCTGTGCCCTAACAGGTCCCCTAACCCCCCTGCCCACCGCGGGAGGCCCACGTACTAGCTGGATGTACCGTATCCTTTGGTGCGGGTAAAGCCGACAGACACGGCCACCACCAGGGCAGGCAGACCTAGGGGAGCGGGAGGAGCGAGTGAGATGGCTGCCAGGCCTCAGGGTCCTCTCATCCTCCCAGACCCCCAGCCCAGCTGCCCCCGTGCCCAGAGAGCCAAGGCCACAGCTGAACCTCTCTCGCAGCCCCTGCCCCCAAGGCCCAGTGACAGAGGCCAGCATGGGCCCTGCTCACCCCAGCCCAGGCAGAGGAAGCGCTTGCGAACAAGGCGGGTGCGCATCCGCCCAATGACAGCCAGGTAGGACTGCCAGGCCTCAGTGAGCACCCAGCAGAAGGAGGAGAGGAAGAAGAAGTGCAGGAAGGCGGCTGTCATGGTGCACACGCCCTGCAGGGAGAGGAGAAGGGAGGGGTGGCCCTGAGCAGCCGTCAGGGTGCGAGGTACCAGGCTTCCCACGCCCGCTGCTGGGCGCTGCCATGGCTGCCCACCCGAGCTCCACCCACCACAGAGCCCTGCCAGGCACCCCCGTCTTCCTGCACCCACGCACAGCACGACACAGGCCCAGTGACATGCACGCAGCACTTGGCATCCGGGAGGCGGGTGGGCAGGCCTCCCACATGTAGACGGGGCTGGCAGGGAGGGGGACAGACAGGAGCACCTACCACGTCACGGCCAGACGGGCCCCATGCCCGGCACTCACAGTGCTGGCACTGGGCAGACAAGGCCAAGGGGGCACAAAGGACAGCCAGCACAGGTCATCCACAGGCAGGTGGCACGAGAGGCCTTGCTTGGGCTCCCACATGCCCGCAGACATGAGGCGGCCCAGGCTCCAAAAATGCCACCTGCCCGACACACATGCACACAGGCACTCAGCTCACGTACACGTTCACAGATGTACACAGACGTTCATCACTCGAGTACACATGCCCCCCCCAACGCCCTCACGGATGCTCACACACACTATTTCCCCCACACACCCTCACCCAACACAGGGCTCAAGTGTATACAAACATCTGTCACTTAAGTACACATGCACCGTCACCTGCAAACGCTTTCTGCAGCACCCCCTACCCCTCCCTCACACCCTGCACCCCCGTGAGCCTGCACCTGCCTTGCTCAGCACCCGCGACTGGCCCACAAGGATCAGGATGTTGGATGCCAGGATGGACAGGCAGAAGTTCAGCAAGATGATGGAGCGCTCAGATTTTATGAACCTGAGAGGGCACAGTGGGCAGAGACAGAGGAGCTAGCTGCCCTGCCCACCTCCCACCCCACCCTGCCCACCTACCTCCCACCTACCTCCAGAAGGCAGCATAGATGGCGAGGAGGGTGAGCAGTGCCATGCAGGACACAGCACAGCCGATCACCAGGGGGACCGAGGGGGTGCCCGCCAGCTCCAGGGTCTGGGGGAGATGAGCGGAGGGAGAGGGCAGGGGTGGCCTCACCCTCCCCACTCCATGTCTAGTACAGACTGGCACCTGCACCTTTGTCACACTCACATGCAGAAGGGGCCTCACCATTGCATTCACATGTGCACAGAGCAGACCCAGCCACATACGTGGATGCATATTTATGCTCAGTCACTCTCTCTTCCACACACAACCAGACACACACGTGTGTGTCTATGCAGGCAATTGCCCACCGCCACACCCCCCAGGCACGTGTCATCACTGTGAGCACCATCCCAGGGGCACAGACTTCCATGTGCAATCCCACAAGTGCACCTGCTCAGACACACACACGGGATCACCCAGGTCCCTGCCAACACCATCACAGATGGCCGCTGGCAACTCAGGAGCCTCCTCCCCTGCCTGGCCCAGGCTTTCCCTCTCACTCACCAGGTCCTTGGGCGGCTGGGCCAGCACGGCAAAGGTGGATAGGCGCTGGCACTGGCAGCGGGTGTGGGCTGCCTGGGTCTCCAGGGTCTGGCAGCTCTCAGTGTCCCAGTCCCCTGAGCTGGCATCTCTTGGGTGAGGGGAGAGGTGGAGTGAGCCCCAGCCCAGCTGCACTGGCCACTGCCCAAGGACAGGTGAGATCCAGGGCAAGGCCACATCCAAAAAGCAGGCAGTTGGGAGCCCCAGGATATGCCCTTGATCCCTTAGGCCGAGGATGGCACCAGGGCGCCCTCTGGCCTTCCAGACAAGAGACCTCCTCCTGAGGAGGAGTCCTGGGGCTGCCCCCTTCCCCACACGGAGCCGCTGCCCAACTCACGCTCTGGAGTAGTCCCAGCTGGCGCAGTGGGGATCCGTGGTGCCCTGGGGAGCAGGAGACGTGAGTGCAGTGTGCAGTGGGGAGCTCACCAGCCCTGACCACCACCCACGGCAGGCCCCACACAGGGCAGGGGTTCGGCCTGCTGTCAGGGCAGACCACTTCCCCATCAGACAGGCCTTTGGCTACCCACGTTAGGGTACACCTGGAGTCCCTGCCTGGGCCCCCACTCACGTTGATGATGTAGGAGAGCTCCACCGTGATGAGGGGCTCAGCTGGTGGCTGGGTGGGGGGCCGCACGGTCACTGTCATCACCCTGGATGTGACGGCCAGCGGGGGCCTGAGGAACAGGTACTGAGGTCAGCTCCTGCCCAGCAGGTGCCCAGACCCAGGCAGGATCCCCAAAAGTGCTTTGGATGGGGGGTGGAAGGCAACCAGGGGGCCAAGGCCTGGGGGAAGGCCTAGAGCTCAGTGGGGTCTAGAGCTCAGTCCAACACCCCCTGGACCCCCCGTGAAGCCTCTGGGAGCTGCATGGGCGTCTCTGAGAAGCGCTTGTGTCCAGAGCCAGGCAAGGGGTCCCTAAGGCTGCAGGAGGCCACAGGTGGATCTCTCTGTGGTCAGCACACGCTCAGCCCCTTCTCTCACCTGGGCCTCCTGGACCCCCAGCAGCCTCCTCCACCCCTCCCAGGGACTCACCTGGGGGGCGGCAGGATGAGACCAAGGGTGCGGTAGAGCACAGCACCGATGACAAAGTAGGAGGAGGACTCCTCGGGGTCTGCCGGGAGGAGGCGCTGGTGCGAGTAGCCTGGGCCAGGGGGCACTGTTCCCGGGCCCTTCCCCCTGCCAGGGCTGCCCACTGCTGCCCCAGATGCAGCCGGCTTCCCTGGGGAGGAGAGGCTGAGCACCTCCTTGGGCAGGAAGAGGCGGTCCTCGGAGTGCCGCACCCAGTCCTTCATGCCCCGGCGGCCCCGCATGGGGAACGTGATGTCGCTGGACACGGCCGAGACGGGCTCTCGCTGAATGCTGATCACTGCAGGGGAGGAGGGTGGGCAGACCGCACCGGAGACAAACAGAGAGACAGAGGGGACAGACACCAGGGAAGAGACAGAGGTGGGGGAGACACACCAGGAAGGCAGATGCAGACACGGAGGTTGATACAAACACATAGATGGAGGAGCGGAAGAAACACAAAGACAGAGATAAAAATAAGGAGTTAAATGAGGGAAAGACAGGGCCAGAGACGCAGAGAGAGAGAAACAGGGAGAGCCCTCAGAAACCATCCCTCCCCCATGGCGGCCTGGGTTCCGCCACATCCAGCACCCCCTCCCCTGCCTGCTAGTACCCAGGTTGTCCGTGACAATTAGAGAGCTCTGGAAGGCCTTGAGAGCATCGCCCACCAGGTGAATGAAGTCCTCCACGACACGGAGCAGGTGCACAGAGCCAGGGGACACCTGGGGGCAGAGAGTGTGTAAGGGTCCAAGGCGGGGGTGGCTCATGGGGGAAGAAGCTTGGAAGCCCAGTCCCTCACCTGCTGAGCATCATCCCACTTATCCTTGTTCTCTGCGTCCACCATGAAGCTCACCACCTGGAAGAAGCGCTGGGGAGAGAGCAGTAAGTGTCGGCAGATGCCAGCCCCAGGGACGGGAGATCTCCCACTACAGCCACACCTGTCACCCCCAGCAGACTCTGCCACTGGGGCCAGGCCTCCCCCTTCAGGCTGGGGCCTCTGCACCCTCAGCTGTCCTTCCTCTCAGCGGAGCAGGGTGGTACCTGCACGTCATCAGCTGAGGGCACATACGTGGCCCTCTTGAAGGTGTCAGTGACGTTCCTCAGGATGTCCACAGAGAACAGCAGGTCCCCGCTGTAGTAGGTGCGCCGGGCCAGCAGCTCCTGCAGGCTGCGCACCACTTGTGACATGCCCTCGCCCGCCAGCATGCGCTGCCCCTTGGCCAGGTGCTCCCGAAGCTGTAGGTGACAGATGGGCCGCTATCACTGGTGTGTCAGGAGCTGGGACCAGCCCCTGGCCCCTCCCACTCCAGTCCACCTATTGCTTATATCCAGGGGGAGAGAGAGGGGGAAAAGGTTACATAGAGATGCTTGAAGGGGGTCAAGAAAGAGATCCATAAAGAGAGAATCTCCAAAGATACTTTAAAAAGGCTGAAACAGAAATAGCTAGAGAAAGGTGGTGCTCAGATGTACATATAAAAGATGATAAGCACAGTACAGGGACAGGGTACCTCCCCAACCCAGAGGGGTCACGAACACTCTGGAATGTAATGTGCTCTCTCTCAAATACAAGCTCCAAATGCAAATGCACAACAAATACCAATTATAGTCAGACAAACACATACACAACAGGCCACATTCACTGACAACATTCTTACCCCATGGCAGACCCTGGGGACACAAAAATAAATTCAACTTTGTCCTTGCCTTCAAGGGGCTCCCAGTCCAACAGGACACAGATATTTCAACGAGCACTTATAACACCTAATGACTGAGAAGTTCGGGGGGCTGTAGGAGCACAGAGGTGGGCACGAGGGATAAGGGAAGACACTTGAGAGTTAGGCCTTGAGGTATGAGTAGGAGTTTGCCAGACAAGGAGAGGCACAGCCAGGCATAAGTGGGCACAGCGTATATATGCCAAGGCACACGGGCATGGGCAACAACCAAGGTCCCCCTACCCCCTACCAGAGTCTGGGACAGATCCTATGTCACCCCGTCCCAGCAGGGCACACTCACTGACAGATACAGGTAGCGGTACTCATGGGAGATGCAGCGGGCAAAGCTGGGCAGCCCCCAGTATGCCACACCCTGGGCGCTGAGGAGGCAGCGGCGGCTGGCAGACCCTGCAGGGGGACAGGAAAGAGGGTTGGGAGTGCGGGCCAAGCTCTCACTCACTTTGCTCCGCACCTCAGAATGGAGGGTCAATGAGGCTGGGGGCCTAGGCGGGGGTGGGGGCCTGTGGGGAGAGCCACCCCGCCCCTCACCTGAGGCATTAGGGGGACACTTGTTGTAGATGATCTCGCCAGCAGCCGCCTTCTTCCATGTCATCAGCATCACGTACTCATCCCTGCACATCTCATGGAAGGCTGTAGGGACAGCGGAGGGGCTCAGCCAGGCCCACATGCTTGTCCCCCCAGCCCCCTGAGTCGTGCGGGCAGTACCTGGACACCTCTTCTCACTGCACGGCTTCACCTCCTCTCCGGTGCCCTCGCAGGGGTAGCCCTGCACGCCTGTGGCCTGGCACATGCGGAAGCGGCGCTGCCAGCCTGTGTCACACGTCTTGGAGCACAGGCTCCACGCGTTCCACGGCCCCCACTTGCCATCTGTGGCTGCGGGAGAGGGGGGCGTGAGTGGCCCCAGGTGCCCCCAGGGCCAGGGCTGCCACTTGCCGCCCTTGCGCCGAGCACTCACCCGGGCACTCAAGGTTGCCGCACTCGCGGGTGTCGGTGAGGGCACCCGTACACGTAGCCCAGGCTGGGCCCGCCACACTGCACTTCCGGCTGCGCTGCTGGGTCCCGTTGGCACAGGATGTGGAACATGGGCCCCAGGGACCCCATTCTAGCCACTGGCCTTCCACTGCATGGGGAGACACAAGCAGGGGTGGCCGTTGAGCAAGGGGTGTGGGGACTGGTGAGGGCAGAGCACCACAGGGAGATGGCAGAGCCTGCTGTCTTTCAGACTTGAGCCAGGCCAGACCCACGTAAGAGGGGTGGATGAAGGGGGACTGGAGGGAGCAGGTGGTGCCTGGGCCTGGTCCTGCCTGCCTGTCACCAGCTCCAGGAACACAGGATACCTCTCCACTCAGCACCAAGGCACGTGCTCTCTTTTGGCTAGGGAAAGGGGCCCCCAGGGGCACCTTCTGATATTTGTCCCTGCTTAAGCCCAGCTCTGTGTCCCCTCCCAGCCCAGCTGGCCATAAGCACCAAAGTGCTATGAACAGCAAGGGTAGCCCAGGGCTTAGGGGAAGGGGCACTGGTAAGCAGCCCCCTTTTGATGGGATCACAGTGTGCCAATGCCAAGTCTGGACTGGGCCGGGTCACCTCCCATACTAGCAGGTATACTTCGTCAGTCTCCCCATGCTTGGTCAAAGTTCATGGGGCCCCCAGGGGCAGGGCACTGGACCTGACTGCCTCCCCTGGGTCTCCCGACCCCCACCCGGCTGGGCAGCGCCCGCCTGGAAGCCCACGGGCGCTACTGACCCGGGCAGGCGGCCATACTGCAGAGCTTAGTCTGCAGCTCGGGACCCTCGCAGGCCTTGCCGCCGTGCTGGGGGGGCACGCAGGTCCGCATCCGGCTCCGGGACCCCCGCCCGCAGCTGCGGGAGCACAGGCTCCAGGACCCCCACTCCTCCCACACGCCGTGCACTGCAAGGAAGCACGTGGCCGGTGGCTGGGCGGCACCTTGGCCCCGCCCACTGCCCATCCGCCCACAAATCAGGAGTTCGGCAGCTCTGCGACCGCTCCTCACTGGCTCTTCCCTGGGTTCTGTTGCCAGGGGGCTCTCTCAGGGCGCCAGCACTCCGCCCTTTGAGGGGATGTGGAAGACACAGGCTTCTAGTCCCAACTCACACAGGGCACCTCCTGTGGACACCCGGTCAGAAAGACTAGGATCAACCCAGGAGGGGAACCAGGGGTCCCGGGAAAGGGCTCAAGATCCACCCCACCCCACCCAACTCCACCCCTCCCCACCCCCAGACCCGGAGCATGAATTCAACATGGCAGGCTTGGAGCAAGAGAAGTGCCCCTCCCAGCCCCAAGCGCATGGACACACAACAGACACGAACCTCTACACGGACACTGACACAAAGCGCTCCCACTCTGGAACACAGCTTGGCCCCAGCCCTCTGCAAGCTCCTGCCACACCCTCGGGTACCAAGACTCCTTCCCAGGGAGGCCCTACTTTAAATCCATAGCCTGGAGCTGGTCACAGCCTAGGCACCACTTCACTCCCCCGGGGCACAAGGAGCAGGACTGGCTGAAGCTGCCCAGCCCCACCCCTCGTGGTGGACCACCTGTCCCAGGCAGGCACATGCATGTTCTCCATAACTCCATGCTGAACTGAGGAAGGCTTAGGGGTCTGGGGTGCTCCCTGGGGAGTAGGATGGGGAGCCACAGGAGGGAGGGGATGGTCAAGGAAGGTTTCATTAAAAAAAAAAAAGGTATTTGTCTTAGATTTCAAAGGACAGGCTGAATTTTAATAGCCAAGGTGGGGTGGGGGGGATAGGACGAGAATAAGCAAATGCAGGGAGGTGGGACAGTACAAGAGGTGCTGGTGCGGCCAGAGCGTAGGGAACAAGGAGAGCGATGAGGGTAGAAAGATGAGCCTTGATCACCAAGACGTAGGCACGAGGGGAGTGATGTGCCCAGCACCGAGCCCACTGGTGTGGGCCCCGGTCTGATCCACTTGTGTGCCCAGTGCCCTGTGCGGGGCTGGGCACGGTGTGGGGGACAGTCAAATTTGTTGAAAGAAAGAAAGGAGGCAACCAACTATCTTTGGAAGATTAACCTGCCCAAGTCCCAGGCAGGACCAAACCCTGCAGGCAAACGGGGCGGGGAGGACGGGCATACCTGGGCAGGTGGCAGAATTGTTGCAGGGCCGGGTCTCCCGCAGGGGCCCGCTGCACAGGGTCCCATAGGGGGAGGACACGCAGGAGCGGGTCCGCACCTGCAGACCCTGCCCACACGTCAGGGAACACACGCTCCACGGGGACCACTCCTCAGCCGCCGGGTCGCCTACAAGAAAGGGACAGCGTCGGCGGCAGGGGGCACCTCCCAAACACTCAGTCTCTAGGGATCCCCCTACCCTGACCCCAAGTGACAGGTTCTTCAGGAGGCAACCCGGCCCTGCCCACAGGCCTCACGTGGCAGAGAGACGTGACTGAGCTCCAGGACACAGACACAGACGGGCACATGCCAAGCACACACGCCAACAGACGCCACAGAGTCGGGCTCCCGCCGCAGAGGAAGGGAGGCGGGCCCGAGTTACCTGTCTGCGCCATGTACAGCCCAGGCTCATCTGCAGACCTTGGCCACTGAGTTTTCACCTTCGGTTCCTCTTCCGGCTCCTCACCTGGAACACGGAGGTGGTGGCAGGGGCTCAGCAAAGGCCAGCTCTGTCCTGCCAGAGTGGCGCAGAGAAGGCAGCCTTGCTTACCCTCAGCCTGAGAGCCAGGAACCAACCACAGGAGATGCTGAGAGAACATCACCTCCTGTCCCCTGCCCCCCCAACCATTTTATGGATAAGGAAACTGAGGCTCAGAAGGCCACACAAGGACATCCGCAAGCCTCAGAAGCATCTTTTCCTCCTCTTGCCTTTGCCAGACTGGGGAGACTGGAAAGGAGCGGCTGCTCATATTAATGAGCCCTGGAGGCTTCTGTGCCAAATGCTGTCCATACTTATCTCTTTTAATCCTCCCCTGGGAAGTAGGGATCATCATCTCTGTTTAAAGATGAGGAAACTGAGGACCCAAAGAGGGGAAATGACTTGTCCAAGACCACACAGCTTAGTGAGCCTGAAGCCCGGGCTCTTTCCCCTCACTGGGCTGACTCCCAGGGCTGATGAACAGCCAAGTCAGGCAGCTGCGACTACCCCCTAACTAAGCCTGCCTCTGGCACGAGATTCATGCCAAGCCAGGGGCTGGGTCTTGGGCCCGGATACTGCTCCCCAAGCACCACTGGACTGTGACCTGGAGGCACAGGTCAGAATGCTGCTCCTCTGAGACCCAAGGGCCTGGGGCAGGTGCCTGCATCCAGCAGACCCTCCTCCCCACTGCCCCGGCAGCCGGGAGAGCAGCAGGTGCTCCAGGAGGCCACTGCTGCCTCGGCCCCAGCCTCACGGGCCCTTGGCCACCCTGATTTACGTGTCTGGTCTACGTCTTGGAAGCACCGCCAGCCCTGGCGGAGGGGCTAGGAGCTCCCATGCTCCAAAGCCGGCCCTTCCTGCTCAGACATGAGCTCATCCAGGCCCTCCCCTACACGCTGGGTAGCGAGGATGGAGGCAGACCTAAGTGCAGAGGGGAAGACCTGGCCCATGTAGAGGATGCTGGGCAGATGGGACTGGAATAGCATTTGGGGACAGGGCTCAGCCCATGCCGTCCCCAAACTAGACAGTACTCCTCTCCCCGACCCCCAGGCCCTCTCCTATTTCTGAAAGGCAGCACCGAACAGGCACTCTGTCTGAAGGAACCCGAGAGCGCTGTACTCTTCCTGTCTCCTGCCACCCCGTGCAGGCTCTGCATCCGAGAGAAAGCTCTTCCTGACCAGGCATAAAGAGTGGCCACCCTGGGCAAACCCACTGTCCAGGGGACCCTGAACTGCCACTCAGCCCAGCTTCTTCTGGTCTCATCAACGCCAAGGCCCTTCCCTCCACCTCAGACACCAGTCTCAGAACCTGATCTCCATCATCCCAGAAACTTCTCCAACATCTCTGAAGCCTGGACCCCAGGACAGCTTCAGAGTCAGGCAGCCCTGGATCCCAACTGGGGCGCGGACAGTGACCAGCTGTGTGACCTTGGGAAAATGTCTTTGCCTCTCTGACCGTTTTCATCTCTGTAGAACAACACTCAGAATACCCCTACCTCGAGGGCTGACTCGAGGATGCCCTGACAGGAGGCCATGAGGCCCTTAGCACTCTGCTGGGCACGTGGCAAGTGCTCAGAAGGCAGTAACTATCCAGTTTATTTTTACCATCTCCCCTCCCCTCCCAATCTCTACCTCTTCTGCACCCTCACATGCCACCCTTCAGCCCCCTAGGCCTCCTCCCTTTGAACAGGATCTGTGATCCCTCCTGGCCTCACTTGGGGCCCTGTCTCTATCAGGGCCACAGAGAAGGTATTGGTGCTACACCTGTCAACTCCTGAATCCCCTCACTCAGGCCTTCCACCACACCAGCTCAGCCAGTCCCCAGCCCCGGAGCCTTGTGACAAGCCGCCTTCTCCACGCCCACCCCCAGGCTGCCAAAGAAATCTATGGCTGTGCCAACTGGCACCTCGACAGATTCAGGGCTGCACATCCGCTCGGCCCCCTGCCTTCCCCATTCCCCGCCTCCGCTGGCCAGGCCAGACTGTGACCTCTCTCCTCAAGCCCGTCTCTGCCCACTCTCCCTGCAACAAGCTCCTTTACAGACAAAGCAGAAGCTATGACTCGGGAGCCCCCCCACTTCTTGCCCCACCCCTCCGACTCCCAACTTCCCTGCAGCCCTTCTCACAAAGGCCAGCCCCTCAGCCTGGTCCTGCATCCTACTCCTCCCCCCTTCTCAGGAGGGCTCATCCACTGCCCCCTCTCTCCCCAGCATTTCGTCAGCATTCTCCCTTCGTCGCAGCCCGTGAACGGACAGAGGCCTCCCCCATTCCGTGGGGAAACCTCCTTGGACCCTCCTTCCTCCCTCAGCCACTGCCCTCTGGCTTCTCTTCGCCACCGATGAGTGGTCCACAGCTGGCACTCCAGTTTCTCACCTGCCACTCACGTCCTGGCTCAAATGTCACCTCGCCTGGTAATTCACTGCAGTCTGGCTTCTGACGGCATCTTTCTGCTGGACCTGTTCCTGACAGTCATGGACGCCCTCCATGTTGCTAAATCCTACGGACGCTTTGCAGCCTCTCTCGCTTGACCCCTCGGCAGCATTCGGCCCCGCTGACTCTTCCACCTTGAAACGCTCCCCTCCCCGACTCTCCCGGTTTCCTTCCAGCTCTCTGGCTTCCCTGTCTCAGGCTCCTAGACTGGTCTGTCTTCCTGTTGCTTCCCACATCGGGCATCCACGCTCGTCCTGTTTTCACTGCACACTCCCCCAGCTCAAGGCTTAAATAACGCCTTCTGAATGGCTGCTCCCAAGTCATTATTCCCAGCCCCGACCCCCACCGCCAGTGCTTCTCTCCTGTATAGCCTCCTGCCTCCCGAACAGGTCTCTTGACAGGGGGCCCTCAAACTCAGCATGTCCAAAATAGGATCATCATCTCCTCTCAAACCTCCATCTGCTTATTCCCCACCTTCTTTGCCTGGAAAACTCCTACTTGACTTTCAAAACCCACCTTAAATGACCTCTCATCTGTGAACTAACTCTTTCTTGTCCCCCACTCCCCAGAAAGAGTTGGCTGCCCCCTCTTCTACATGCCCTCTCATCAGATGATTCCATCTTCCGACTGTCTGAACTTACCCCCACCCATGAGCCCTCTGAAAGAAGGCTGTGTGTGAGCCATCTCCCTGACCACAGTGAACACCGGCACCGAATCTGGCCCAGAGAAATATCAATAAACACCAATGAACACCACTGATCCTGGCTTCCCCCCTACCCCAGGAGGGTCACTGGAAATGGTCATTTGTAATCTTGAGTATCAGCTCTGCCCAGGAGTCCTCCACCTAGATCACCCCAAGCCTGACACCCATTTATTTATTTATTTATTTTTTTAAAGATTTTTTTTTTCCCCCCCAAAGCCCCAGTGGATAGTTGTGTGTCGTAGCTGCACATCCTTCTAGTTGCTGTATGTGGGACTCGGCCTCAGGATGAACGGAGAAGTGGTGCCTCGATGCGCACCCGGGATCCGAACCCGGGCCGCCAGCATCGCAGTGCGCGCACTTAACCACCAAGCCACAGGGCCGGCCCTTGACACCCATTTATTAATACACATTCTGGAGATGTGGTTCCACTTTTTGCAAAGCCAGCCGAGTCCCCTCGTCCAGCTCCTGTATTGGCATCTTGGCCATCACTGTGTCTGTCGCACCCCCCATCCACCAGCCTGGCATCCGGTAAGCCCACCAAACCCAGATGTGTGAGAAAGCAGCCTGATATGATTGTCGTGGATTCACTGCTTCCTGCAGTCCCCATGTCCTCTACCAACCGCTCACCAACTGTTTGCTGGCCAGCCCCCCGATATAACCAGAGGTGGTGTCGATGGTTTCTAGAACCCATCCTATTTGAAAATCAGAACATGTCACAGGTCCAGCTCTGAGTCCCTCTCCTAGCCTCCTGGGCTGAGCCAGAGAGGGAAAGGAACAAGCCCAAGGTCACACAGCTAGGGCCTACACTGATGGCCCTCCCTTCCGCCCTCCCCCCACCTCCCTCAGAGAAGAGGCCAGCAATGTGTTTCCCCCACACGTGACAGCCAGTTCTCCCTGAAGGGGGAAGAAGACGGATAAGGCCAGAGGTGTCATTATTGAAATAAACGTTTATTCAGCATATACTGCGTGCAGGCCCCAGGGCTCTGGGCCCACAGCAGGGGGAGTCAGAGAGGCAGCTGAGGCAAGAGGACAAGGAGGGCTCCGGGAACGGGTGTGTGCACCCCCAGAACTCCCGAGCGTCCCACCCAGTGAGCTCCGCAGGCCTGCTGGACCAGGCGCTCCGATGCTCGCAGTCTTGCGATCCAGCAGCTTTCCCACCTGGCTGCCTGCCGTGGGCACAGACGGACCTGCGGCCTGGGACATGCTTCCCGGCTCAGCCCTGATGACCTCTTAACTGTTCTGTTTTGTGTTGAATAAGGAAACATTTACTACACAACCCCTACGTGCCATCACTGTGCACTCAACATCACCTCACTGAATCCTCATTAAGAGGGTTCTCCCATCTGACTAATGAGGAACGAGGCTCCAAGGTCTCACACCGGAGAGGCTGATGTGGGATTCGAAACCAGGCCTCCCTGACTCCGGTGGCCATGCTCTTTCTACTGAACTGTGCTGGCTCTGACACAATGCAACTTGACTTGGACCTCCTCAGTGATGGCTTTCCAAATTCCCATGGACCCCGAGTCACTCCCTCGCCCCAACGAAGCCCCTCAGACTTGCCTCTATTATCCTGTTTTCATACCACTTTCTGATTGTTCCTTTGCACATCTACTCCTCCCTCCCCTACCATGAGCCTGATTTGCCTCCATAGCCTCCAAAGTGATCCCCTGGGAGCCCAGCTCCAGCCACACACACTGCCCTGCTGAGGAACCTGCAGTGGCTCCCCACTGCTTCAGCCACAGTGTAAATCTCAGAGCCTGGCATGCTCTGACCTCTGCTGATCCGTCCAGCCCTGTTTTCCCCTCCCAGCCAGACAGCCAAGCACACTGTGAGGCCATGTGGGCCAGTGGGAAGGAC